GGTTGGTGTGTGGCTGGGAAGGGGAGGCAGTGTGTATAGGGGAGGTGTACGTCCAAGGGGGTTGTTGTGTGGCTGGGAGGGGGAGGCAGTTTGTGTGAGTAGGTGAGTGCGCGGGGGGGGGGGGTTGAGGGTGTGACGTGTGGGCAGACGTTCTGCATTAGAGTACTGGCCGAGCTGTGGTCTCCTTTGATCCCCTCATGTAATGGCTGCAAAAGGGTAGGCGCAGCCAGAAACGACATCGCCTGCTGTTGCCAGGAGGGCTGGTTGTGGTGGGGCAATTCAGCTTGCAGCAGTCGCGCATGACGCCGGCCGCGGTGCCGTCCTTGGCGCTCTAGTCGAGCGGCATCGCAGCAGGCACCAGTCCCTCAGAGAGGTGCCCCGTGGCAAGCTGATGCGTGGATGCAGAAGAGCTATTTCTACCGAGCCCTTCTATACTCACACCCAGCTCTGGCTTGACCAAGGTGCAGCTGGATATGACTTCTCAGCTCTAGTTTGCATTGGTTTGCCCTGGCAGGTCCGGAATAGCCCATGACGGGGCCGAGGCCAATGTCCCCGTCTCCCGGCCTGGTGCAGAGGGGAGTCCTGGGGGTGGGGAGGTGGGTGTTGGAGAGCGATCCTGCTCTGCATTAACCCTGTGGTGGTGGATCCTTTCCTGCGGGGCTGGTCCTGGTCTCCCCACTGTGGTTGTTGCGACCTGGCGCACGGTATCATAGCAACGCTCAGGGTGGCCAGGCCCCCTCTCCGCCATGCCATTAATCTGGCCCCTGCCCTGGCCCTGGCCCGGTGTGTGGAGTCCCAGGGAAGAGCCCCAACCCACCATGTGGCCCTGGAGAAGCACTGGGAGCCTTGGAGTCCTTGGCGGTTGGGGAAGAGCTCGGTTGCACTCCATTCTTTCCAAGCACGTGGGCTATTGAAAATCAGCAAGGGACAGGGCTGTGTGGGGGATGTACACGTGAACACTGGCTGCACACAGACACCGCAGTCAGCTGCCAGCTTCAGATATGCAGCTTGTGATGTCCTCTTCTCTAGGGTGGCAATTCCCCCCTGGGCTGAGGACTGGCCCGAGGCTCACGTGCCCGTAGCCCTCAAATCATGTTGGAGTGGCACTGACGTGATGCATAGTCACAGTGCTGGCTCTCTGCCCCGGGTGCGTTGGGCCCTAGCAGAGAAGAGACGAGATCTTCTCTGTCCACGTCCCAGACGGATGGTAGCAGCTCCTGCCCTGACTTTAATTATCTCATGCTTTGTCAACAATAGTTCTTAGGAAACAGTTCAGACGTGTTTTCTCCTGTGTAATTTTGATCTCTGGCATGCCACACTTGTCAGATACCTAGTTAGCAATTGGAGCAGGTTGGCCAGTGGGAATGGTGTCATCTCTTTAGCATAGTTGAGATTTTGGTGCAGGGAGGGAAAACCATTGGCATTTCTTGTCCTGATACTTCTGTTGAATGTGTGAAACCTGACATAATTGAGAGCTCAATTTATGACAAAAAATGAGGTTCCCAGTTTTATCTGCTTTTATCTCACCAGAAAAATCAACTAAATCGGAATTGACCAAATCCATTGTTCTTTGTTGTGTAACTAATTCACTGTATCTCGTCACATTCCACTGTAACACATGATGGCAAAAACGCTCCGATCACAGAGCAGTTATTGTCAATTTGGGAGATTACACTTCACAGTGAAGAGTTTTTTGTATGAGGAACGAAAAAGGCCGTCTTTCTCCATGGGCATGGTCTTTCTCCCTGCTTGTGCCACGGGATAACTGCAGCCCGTTTGACCCTGCTCCAGCCTCTCTTCACGGCCTACACTTGAGAGACCTGTCAGCAGTTCATTTAAAGTTTGGAAGCTGAGTAAACCATGACCCTAAAACCGGTATGAACCCCATGTCCGGTTTTTGTGGATATGAGGCAAGCCCTTAAAAGTTGCATTTGAATAACACTAAACCCTTCAGAAAATCGACGGGACTCTGCCATTTCTTTTTTGGAGGTTAATATGGGGCAGGCAAATTCAAAATCTGTTTTGGTGAAATGGGTCACAGCTGTGAGGAAACATTATTTCAAGCAAGGTGAATAAATCCTTTAACTGCTTGCCGGTTACATAACAGAAGACTGTGGCAAATTGGATTTGTGTGCAAACAGGCTTCATATCTTCCCAGGGTAATTGTGCTTCATCACAGCAATTGGCTGACTTCTTAAATTAGGGAGAATACAGTTCAAGAGCCAGCCACCTCACTGCACATTGTGTGAGTAGAGCATGACCAATAGTGCCAATGAGAATGGGAAGAGCTGATTCTGCTATGGCCCACACAGTGCAGAGAGGAGGAGGCAACTATTCGCTGGTTGGAGAGGATGGGCTCATTCCATCCTTCCCCCAAAGCTTTGACACTGAGCCTTGGGGTGGAGGGAGAGCTCAGTGGTTTGAGCCTTGGCCTGCTAAACCCAGGGTTGTGAGTTCAGTCCTTGAGGGGGCCACTTAGGGATCTCAGACAAAATCAGTACTTGGTCCTGCTAGTAAAGGCAGGGGGCTGGACTCGATGACCTTTCAGGGTCCCTTCCAGTTCTATGAGATAGGTATAGCTCCATATATTATTATTAGTGAGAAGTGTTTGGAATTCACACCACAGAACTCCTGAGAAACAACTCGATTAAACCCAGAAGTTTGTAGTGGGTGCAGTGGCTGTGTTGGCCCTGGTTTAAGAAATTAGGAAGCCACTGTGATTAAGCACAGGCTCTGATTCACTTACACTGGGAATGCATCACTGCAGGAGAATCCCAATCAGATTCCTTGGACTTGATTCCCGGCCAACTGAAATGGGAGCTGCCCTTGGTTGTCTCTGCCTGCAATTCACACTGTGAACCTTTCCCACCAGCCAGTGAGCTAACAGGCGAACGGCCACTGTCAAGTGGCAACGGACTCTGATAACACACTCTCCCGCAAGCTACCCATGATGTATTGCATTGTTTGCTGGTGGTGATTGCTGGTGTGTCTTACAGGGGATGATTGCAGATCTGAAAGTGACAGGTGATCGCCAGGCAGCTGATCTCCAGTGTGAGGAGCAGGACGAGGATACTGATGTGGTGAGTGCTGTCTGCCATGGCTCGGTATTGTAGCTGTGGTTTGCTTACACAGAGGGGTGTAGAACTTACCTTGGTTCCAGCTGTTAGCAGATCGCTTGCTGGAAGTTAATATGCAATTTACCACACAGGATCACCCACCCCAAATGTCCAAAAATCATGAGCCTGACCCCAACAAATCATGAGATTGGACCAAAAATCATGAGCTTTAAAAATATATAGATTATATTGTGTGGTTTTGGTCTGCTCTTCAATGTGTGAAGTCTCTCTTCCCTGCACCTGCCCCAGGCACCTGCCATACCAGATACAACCGCTGTTGTGAAATAGCAACCCCCAAGGTGGGTGGGGAGAGCGGGCAGTGCAGTGTCCTCACGCCCAGACAGGAACTCCCATGGGCACTCACCCTTCTCTCTTCACCACCCCCCATTCCCTTAACAGGTCAGACGGTTGCACAGGAGATCTGCCCTATCCCAGTGCCTGATGGCTGGGGGTTTGTCCAGGAATTTCATGGAAGACTAGACCCCAGGTGGTAGTATCGCCTCCTGCCATTGCTAATGGGCGTGTCTTCTCCAGCTGCTCCCCTGGGCACTGAGGCTTGCCACGGGGGAGGAAACAGGCTAACAGCTACTAGTGTCAAGTGACCATTGTGAATGTTCGTTCCTAGCCAAAGCCCCCTCTGTGCACTGAACCAGGGTGAAATCCTGGCCCCAGTGAATTTATTTGCAAAACTCCCATTGACTTCTTCGGAGTCAGGATTTCCCCTTTTGGTTTTTTTATTGAGTCATGTTAGTGAACAGCCTGTGCCGCTGGTGGGACCGGCTGACTCTTTGGGCTTATAAGTCCTTGTTAGAATCAGTGTGAGACCCAAAGTGAATTCCGGGACAGGCGGAAATGTGAATCCCCTTCTCAGCAACCAGGAGAAGGATCTCATTGCTAGGTGATCACTTTCCACCAGGAGAGTGCGGGGCCTGGGTTTTATTTCCTATGGGAAGGGGGCATAGCAGCCAATGCTGTTGAGTACCCTGATCAGAACACTCAAGTATGCTGGATATGTTGTCTGCTGACTGTGTCTCCCTCTCTCTCTCCCCCCTCCTTTGGAATGATGTAGGCATCTGGAGATTTTGGAAGTGGAGTTGAAGAAAGGCCCCACCTATCAGGAAGGGAACGGGTGAGTCTGAGGCCGTGGGCCCAAGGGCATTCCTTTCCGGCTTGGCTTGGCTTTTCCCTTCCGGTACAGGCCCCATCAAACATGGCTAAACACTACTGCTGCAGTGGGCAGCAGAGAGCAGGGGGGAGTTGGCAGTCATTCTGCCAATGGACGGTTGGTCTTCCTAGGTTAAGACGAGTGGTGATTTGGGGTCTTGATTTCTCCCTTTCCAGTCAGCCCAGAGGTGCAGGAAGTAAACGCCTTGTTGACATAAACTTATGTTTTCTGTGATGTGCTCCTGGGCCACAGACTTTATCCTGTGGCTGGTTCTCTCCCCCCACCCCCGATCTCGTGCCATCAGTGAAACCATTGGGAAAGGTGCGGACAGCCCAGTGCCTTACCCTGGATCGTGCCAGCTGTCCTGACCACGTCTCCCAGATGCACTGATCCACGGAGAAGTTCCGTGCCTGTAAGTCAGGTTGTATCACACATTTTAATGAGTGGATCTGGAACAAAAGCCAACGGGGAATCTGAAAACTGGCTGAGAATCTGAAGAGACTGGTAACTGAATTAGAGCTTTCCTTTGAACCAGACCCCCGAAGGCTTGCAGTGTTAACTCCCTGGGCTAGGAATTGGCTGTCTATTCAGGCTAGTGTCTAATCTCTCCCCTGTGTGTTACCTACTGCTGTATGGCTGCAATAGAAAGCCCACGCCTGCTGCTGTTCTTGCCCCGAGCCAGGGGTCCCTCCAGACAAGCGTCCCGGAAGCAGGCTGTTTTAGGAGTTTGTACAGATTGCAAAAACACACACATGCTCTTAGCAGCCATCGGCCTGATCCACTGGGTTGTAATGGGAAAGCATCTGTAACATAGTACAGTTACTGTACTACCTGCTCAGGAAAGTAGGGTGCACAACTGCCTTATCTGGCTGCCATGGCATCATGATTCAGCCCTGAATTACCGTAAAGCCCATTACGCCTTGACATTTCAGTTATCAAGACCAGATTTCGTTCCGTTTCCAAGAGTCCAAAGAATTATTAAGCCTCCCCTTTCCTCCGGATGTGCATTAGCACCTGGAAACTTGCCTTTTTACCATCACGAGTTCAGATTTCAATCCAAACAGTGTGTCTGGGTTCTGAAGGATGGGTTTGGAGGGCAGGGGGGGATGATGCAGTGCGCTAATGCTTTGGAGCAGCCGAGGAGGGTGGATTTGAAAAGGACTTGGCGTTTCCTGCTCGTGGTGTGTTCTGCGGTTGAGTGTTGGCAGTACTCGCGTTCGTCTGTAACTCTGGCCCCAGTGCCGCAGCTCTGTGCCGACTCTCTCCACCAGTGGCTCTGCTCTGAAAAGTGACTCGGTACGAATGGCACCAAGACAGTCTGCTCTCTTAGTGTGTTCAGAGTCACGTGTGCCAACCTACCGAACCCTGCTGTTTGCATCCCCGATCACCCTGCAGAGACAGCACAGCTGTGGGAGTTACAGAGCAGATTGGGTGTCGTCTTGTGCTGCCAAAGAATTGTTTACGTTCCAATCAGTTAACGCTGTGCAAAGCTACTGCAGTTCCACAGCATCGGATATCAGTGAAAGCTTGATTTGAGGTCAGCTGGGTTGCAGGGCTTTCACTAAGGGCCTGACCTGGCCCACCGTTGCTTTACTACCAGTGGTGATGCCTGGCTTGTGTGTCCCAGCTCCAGGTGGTTTGCAGGGGTGGCACAAGGAAAATCACAGCACTCTCTGGCCATGTAGGCAGAACACATTTGAGGTGGAAATCATGGAGAGGCAATAATTTTGCAATCCCACAAAGCCATTTTTAAAGGGGCTTTGCTTGGCTGAACCTCCTTTCCCAGTGTCCTTCCTGCAGGATCTGCCTAAAGGAAGTGAAAATAGGATGACTGGAATGGGCGAAGTATTACATTGGCATGGGTCCTAGCTGCTGAGGACAGTGAGGACTTAGGCTGTGACACGGTGCCTGGCTTAGCTACCTCAACAGGATTGGTTATGCTGAGGTTGGCTGGCGCACCAGGCATGCCTCACTCTGGGGAATGTTAGCTGGATGCTGGCGTACGGTAACACTCACCCGTGGACACCATTGTTCCAAGGAGGCCATCGCTGCTTCCCTGTAGAGCAGTGGTAGTGCTGGCGTTTTAAATGCTGTATTCCCCCCCACCCCTCCCCCGGCTGACAGCTGGCCTTCCCCCCAGAGTACATCCAAACAGCAGCACACCGTGGTGCAGCTAGAGGTCAGTTCCCGCTGATGACAGCGCTCTCGAGGGTACCATGTTTCTGAGGAAAGGGTCGTGAGAGAGAAACTTCCCTCTCACTGAGATCCCTCCCTGCCCAGGGGACAGTGCGCTCAGCTGGGAGCCAGAAGACCTGAGTTCTGCTCTGACATCTCTCGACTGGTGTTTGTGTATCTGCCCGTGAGAGCCCTTAGCACTCAGCTGTGCATGGAGCCTTGCCTAGAAGGCCGCAGGTGGTGGTATCCCCCATTGTACATGTAAGCCAACTGAGAGGTTGGACAAGTAAACCAGGGGTAAGGAGCTGGTATTACCTCTGTATAGTGCGTTGGTGAAACCATCACTGGAATCCCAGTTTGGTCTCCACACGTCAGAAGGGACATTGAACATTGGAGAGGGGTCAGAAGAGAGCTACAAGCATGATTCAAGGTCTGGAAAACCTGCCTAATGGTGAGATCCTGACGGAGCTCGATCTGTTTAGTTTATCCAAGAGAAGTGAAGCGGCGACTTGCTGGTGGTTTGTACGTAACCACGTGGGGAGGAGATTTGTGATGGCTGGCGGCTCTTTAGCAGACATAGAGAAAACCCGATCCAGTGGCTGGGAGCTGAAGCTGGACAGAAATCAGGTACCCATTTTGGGAATGAGGGAGCTTCACCTGGGCAGCTTTCCCAGGGTTCTCCATCTCTGGGCTCTTTAAATCAAGGCTAGATGTCGTTCTAAGAGACCTGGTCTAGCTTAGCCACCACTTACCGTGCAGGAGTCGCTGGGCGAGAGTCTTCAGTCTGTGTTCTGCAGGTCAGACTAGATGATCATCGTGGTCTCTTCTGGCCTTGCTTCTGTGACATGCACCCTGTGCGGAGGGCTGCAGAGAGGGGCAGGGAGAAGCCAGGTGTGCCCTGTGCTGGGCAGTCTCCAGCGATATACTCTGCTCCCTTTGTGCTCCTTAGTGGAATGAAGGGAGAAGAACAGGACAGAGAAACTGGCGATACAGCCTTGTGCTTGTGGCCTCTGGGGTTGAGAGCTAGACCTGCTGGGGTTGAAAGACTGGCACCCCTTGCAGCCCAGCCTTCATTTTCCCACTTCACAGCTGATGTTTGCTCCCAGAATGCTTTGGATGCTGAATTCGGTATGTATGAGATGAGAACTAGGAGTGGGCCGGCTGGAAAGCAGTCTCCGGGTTTGTGAAACGCCTGCAGGAATCAGTACTGTCTACATCGGAGATGTCAAACGCAGGAGAAAAGGCAGGATATTTTCCCTCCACTGGAAGTTTATTTGAGGGGTGGGCCACAAAACAGGAACATTTCTGCAAGCCAGAGGTAGCCGACAGCACTCCCCGTGAGACAGGGCAGACGTGCTGTTGCCTTACATTTGAACACGGAATGCCGACGCCATCCAGTGACTGGACAGGAGTAATGGCTAGAAGTATTTCTCCTGGGCTCTCTTCCAATCCAGTGCCGTACATAGCACCGTTCTGAATTCCCTTATACACACCAGACCCGATCCTGCAGTCCTTCCTCAGGCAAAACGCCCAGGGTGCTTCACTGGCACTTTGCTGGAATAAGGACAGCTGCTTCGGGCCCACCAGCAGCAGCGTTTGGTACAAAGTTCAGGGGGAAACCGGGGCTGTTGGCTCATCAGGACACTCAGAGCTTTCTCCTGTCTTTAGTGCAGTGTGCATATGCATTTCTGGGGCCAGAATGAGTGTCTTCATGGGTCCCCTTTTAGTAACAAATGTGGCCATCTCCTCCTTTTTGTTTCTGGGTGGTTAACTCTGGGTTTTAAAACCTTCTTTGCAATGCAGTGTTGCTTTGCAGCACTAATACAAATACTAACTTGGGCTGTGGATTCTCCATCCCTGGCAATGTTTAAATCGGGGTTGGGTGTTTGCCTACAAGACCTGATCTAGTACAAACAGGAGTTAATTCAGAGCAGTCCTATGGCCTGGGCGATACAGGCGGTCCGACTAGATGATCACAACGGTCCCTTCTGGCCTTGGGATCTCTGATTCTGTAACTCCCCATTACTCTTTGTAACCACCTCCAGTAAGCAATGAAACAAGTGCTTGTTGTGCCACTGCCCAGCCTGGAATGTCAACGGGCCTCACCGACTGCATAGGGAGTTTTGTTCTCAATTATTCAAGTTTCTTCCCCTCTCTGGTCTTGCGCAGGGGACCCCGGCTGTGTCGCGGCTCCCGGAACCTCCCCCAGTCACTTCTCCCCCCACCGCTGGGGAGACAGTAGAGAAAGTAAGCGTGGGCTCTCAGCTGCAAACTGAGCAAATCAAAGTGGAAGGACCACAGCAAGTTTCTACAGGAGGTAAAACTAGCATTTGCCCCTTTGCCACCCAGCCTGCAGAGATGTTAAGCAAGGGCAACATCCGCAAATGACCTGGAGCAGGTAGAAACTAGAAATGCCTCAAACTTGATCAGCTGGCTTGAGATAGGCGAGTGGAGCCACCTTTTCCTGTGGCGTCCCCGAAGCAGGGGTCCTCTGGGGGTCCTCTGTGGGGCATGTGTTCAACATGCCAGTAGCTAGATCCATGCAAAGTGATGGGGTTGGCTGAAGCTGTGAGCTCCCTCCATGTCTCCATGCTGGTTGTTCAGGGGGGCACGAGAGCAGGTCAGGGGGGCTGTCCTACCCAGCACCTCTCAGATACATCAGGCTGAGCCTCCTGAGAGGGACTTCTCGCATGGCCTGCCTGCCTTATCTGTTGTTCTGCTACCAGCAGGGGTGGGGCTGACGCAGGGATCTCAGCTTCCCCCTCTGTGGGAGTCTGTGGGGAAGCCCTAACTCTGCGCTTGTGACATCACACGTGGCGTTTCCTCCATTTCGCTTTCTGAGGCCCACATCTTTGAACACATAGGAGCCATTGACAGTTGGTGAAATTGTGCCTAACTCCCTTTGGAAAATGGGACCTAGGCTCCTAAATCAGTTAGGCCCAGATTTGGAAGGATATTTAGTTGTTGCTGTGCGCAGCATTGCAAGGCCTAAGTCCTTTGTCTAGAAAGATGGAGAGATGAACAGCCTGGGAAGGGGGTCCCCCACCAGAACTCCCCGGCTGTTCTGCCATCAGGCACTGGGGGCAGCAGCTAGCATATGCGCTGACTTCATGGGTGCTCCGGGGCTGGAGCACCCACAGGAAAAAATAGTGGGTGCTTAGTACCCACCAGCAGCCCCCTTATCAGTGCTTCTCACCTGCCGTGGGCATGCAGGAGGTGCGGGGAGGGAGAGGAGCGAGGGCAGGGCATGCTCAGGGGAGGAGGCGGAACAGGGCGGGGTGGGGGCTTGCGGGAAGAGGTGGAGTGGGGGTGGGGTCTGGGGCAAAGCGGTGGTCAAGCATGCTCCAGGAAAGGACAAAGTCAGCGCCTGTGGCAGCTGGTGCAAGCCCCATTAGTGGGGAAGTGTCAGAGAGTCCCAGATTGCCCAGCCCTCACACCCAGATGTCCTCAGCACAACTCGCTGTGTGTGGTGTGGCTGTCCCACACCCCAGCCCTGCCCAAGCAGAGCGGTCAGCACTGTCCAGCAGGGCCCTGCGTCCTCGCCTGTAACTGCACGTGGCTCTTCATTCCAGCCACGGTTGGTTCAAAAGGTGAAAAGGGGACCCCGGGAGAGAAAGGTGAACGTGGCCCAAAAGGGGACTCCGGAACCGGCGGGGTTCTAGCAGCCGGCGGCACCAAAGGCGACAAGGTCAGTGATGATACTTAGTGCTTCTCTAGCAGCTTCATCCATGGGCTCCGAAGCACATTACAAACCGCCCCTCACCACAGCTCCTGCCTGCAGACACACCAGCGCACTCACCCCTTCCTCCTGCCTCAGTGGGAGAGTCCCTGGAGCCCCTGGCCTGCCGAGCACCCCTCGTGTGCAGTGCAGCAGTGGGGCTCAGCGGGGAACAGAGCAGAGAGCCAGTCATGTCAGTATCCAGTCTCTGGCTGTGCCGCAGACTGGGCACCGCTGGCGAGGATCGGGGAGTGAGGGAAAGGGAGATGACAGTAAGCCAGGCAGTAAGGAAGAGACAACCAAGAAGAGACCAAGGGCAGGGCTATGACCTGGGACAAAGAGCGAAGGCGTGCGGAAGGGCTTGTCAGGCACAGCTGAGCAGTTCCCCCTCCTGCAGCTAGTGATGGTGTGAGGCGTTCCACACCATCCGCCCATTCCAGGGCCTCAGTCTGTGCCAGAGCAGGCAGCAGTCCCGCCCTGCTTCTGTGCTGACTGCAGGCCAGCTCCCCCCGCTCCCCGTGAGAGGCTCTCTTCTCGAGCAAAGCAGCCCAGCCCCGCAAACACTCGCTCTGGGCAAATCCCAGCAGCTCCCACGAACGCGTCCCCCGTGTTTAGGGAAGCAGTGTGTGTGCAGAGTCTGTCCCCATGCATTGCCAGATGAGCATGATGAGAGCAGCTCTGCCTGGTGGCGACAGCCTCCAGCACCCACTGATGTCAGCAGGGTGGCCGGAGCACTCCCCACCAGGCTGGATCGAGCCCCCGGTGAAAGACTCCTTCGCAGCAGCTGTGCGCGTGGGGGCTGAGCCGACGTTCCTACCTCTCCTAGGGGTGGTAATGTCCAGGCTCCAGCAGACTGAATTGCACTGAACTCCCCTGTACAGTGCTGCTCCGTGGAGCTGCACTGGGAAGCACCTGGCTCGGCTCTAGCAGCGTGTGCGCTGAGTGTGCTGTCAGGGGAGCACGCGCCATGACTTGCCGGGGGCAAACGAGCACGCCTGTCAGATGCAATGATGTTTTGCTCTTTTATTCTGCAGGGAGAAAAAGGAGACCTGGGCGTTAAGGTGAGCACGGTGACCACGGGGTGTTGTGTAGAAGGGGGGGTTACAGGCAGGGTGCCCATGAGCTGTACTCTCCCTAGCTGGCCTTCTCGCTGGGTGTCGGCCCAGACCCGTGGTATGGCCTTCGGCTGGGCTGCCCATGTGTCGGCGAGAGGCACTGTTCCCTAGCTGCGGAGACTGACTAGACAAGTCATGTTTCCTGTGGGGCCTGGGGGTGCGTGGTGCTGAGGAAGGTGCCGGGAAGGGCTCAGCGTGTCGGGAAGCCAGGCCCAGGTTCGCACAGGAATCCACTGGCTGGTGCCAGTGCTGAGTCGGACCCCCGGAGGCAATCGCCCAGGACCAAATCCCAGGGGCCTTGCTCAGTTCTCATGCATCCCTCACTCCTCTGGCCTGGCATCTTCGCCTCCCACAAATGTGCGTGTTGCGCGAGTCCCTGTGAGACCGGCTGGCAGGCAGCCCGGGCCATGGCAGGAGAGGGAGAGGGAGCATACACTGATGGCCGCTCGGGTGCGACAGGACCTGGGAGAGGAAAGCTGGGAGTGACACCAGAGCCAGGCAGAGCACCTGTCTTTCCACAGCGGGTATCTGGCATGCTGCTGTCTCACAACAGACACACTGCCCAAGCTCACAGCTCATAACCCTCCCCGGGCATTCAGGAGCAGACGATCGCTGTCTGCTGCACTGGAATCGCTGGCTTGGCATGGCCCGTGGCAGTATCCGACACCATGGTGGTGGTGGTTGGCGTTGTCTCAGTAACAGGACCTGCTATGTACCAGGCCTCTTCCTGGCATGTCCTACTCCAAGGAGCCCTCAGGCCAAGAATGGAGGCTGGGGCAGGGAAATCAGCCAATTCAGCCTCTGTGTGGAAGGTGGCGGAGGGCGGGCTGGGAGCACTGGACTCCACTGTTATCGGCTGCATGTCCCAGGCTCATGTGTGCGCAGCCAGAGCCAAGCCAGGGAATCCCAGAGGCGAGTCATTCCTTCTCCATGTGGGACTGGCTGAGGGAACTAGGTGGGCATTTTGTATCGCCCCTTGGGCCCATGCTGGACCCAGCCAGCTCTGCGAGGCCAAAGCCTGGCATTTCCAGGGCACAGCATCAGTGCAGAGCGAGGGAGCAGGGAACCCTGGGGATCCCGGCCGCAGGCAGTGCCCAGGCCAGCCCGGGGAGTGCAACTGGTGGCTCATGGTTTTCCCTTTCATCCCCAGGGAAGTGCAGGATTTGGGTATCCCGGCTCTAAGGGGCAGAAAGGGGAGCCAGGCGTCCAGGGATCTCCCGGCCCCGCTGGCCCGCCTGGGCCCCCTGGCTCTACGGTGCAGCGCCTGGATGGCTCTGTGGTGGAGCAGGTCACCGGGCCTCCAGGACCAACAGGTCCCCCAGGGCCGCCCGGGGAAGACGGCCTCCCTGGCAAGGATGGCGAGCCTGTGAGTAAACCCTCAACCCAAGCAAGCTGGGGGAGCAGGCTGGGGGCTGCTGGGCTCTCTCTGGGATGGGGGGCAGCAAATGCCCTCCTGCCCCAGGAGATGCCAGTGGAGTGCTATCGGGACCCTGCTATGCTGGCTGCAAAGAGCTCCCTCTGTCCAGCTAGGGCCCTGTCACGCTCCTCGCCAGCCCTCCCCACACACCCTGTCCCTTTGCATCCTGGCTATGGGCTGGGTCCCGCTGCATTGCATCTGTCCCCTACTGCCCCAAGGCTCTGCTGCCCAGGACCCTGCCTTCCCCCCACTGCCACCTGCTCTGTCCTTCACTCTGTCCCCATCTCCTCTCCCTCTCCACCGGTCCCACCTGAATGAAATTAGAAAGCTCCCCTTTCTCCTTACCACTCCATGCCCACCGGCTGCCCCCTGCCTCGGCCTGTCTCCTTGCTGCCCTTTCTTGCCTCCCTCCTTGCTCCAGGCCTGCACTTCCCACCACCCCAGTTTCCTGTGTGCCACCTGCCAGAGCTGCTGGGGCCAGCACAGGCCCAGCCACCCTTGGCTGTTTGGTCCTGGAGCAGGGGGTGATCTCGGGGTGCTCATCCTCCCTCCCAGATGAGCTGTGGGGAGAAGAGGGGCTTTGGCACGTTCTGAACTGGAGGGAGGCTGCCGAGCCGGAGCAAAGTGCGGCAGTAGCTACAGACGCCCGGCAGAGTAGGCCAATGCCCTGGCTGGTGTTGCTGAAATCCTACCAAAGCCCCCAGGGTGCTGGGTGAGGGAGAATGGGGAGTACTCCGAGGAGCCAGGGGGCAGTGCAGCCGGCAAATGCCTCCCCCAGGGCGTGGCTGGGTGGTGAATATCTATCTGTCTCGTTAACACCTCTCCATCTCTGTTGACTCTAGGGTGATCCTGGTGAAGATGGGAAACCTGTAAGTGTCACCGTTTGCTTCCCCCACGCACTGCCAGTGTGCTGGTGTCAGCGTGTGCCACCTGCAGACACTCATGTGACTGGCCACCCGGGATTGGCTGAATCATTACCATATAGTGCATGCTTCCTAGTGCTCCATGCCAACGCACAATCCCTCTCACACGCTCTAGAACACGTCCGGCACCCCCAGCAGCATGCTTAGCTACAGGCATAGCAGGGTGTTAAAGGAACACTGCTTAGAATGCACCTGCGAAAAAGGCTAGTGTTCTGGGGCGTATTCACAGGAGTGTCGTGTGTGAGACATGGGGGGTAATGTCCCAGTCTGCTCGGCACTGGCAAGGCCTCAGCTGAAGTCCTGGGTCCAGGTCTGGGTGCCACGTGTCAGGAAAGCTGTGGGCAGACTGGAGAGAGACCAGAGCACAGCAACAAAAATGAGAAAAGGGTTGGAAAACCTGACCTGTGAGGAAAGCTTAAAGAACTGGGCATGTTCAGTCTTGAGAAGAGAAGACGGAGGGGGGACCTGAGAACAGACTTCAAATACGTTAAGGGCTGTTACAAAAAGGATAGTGGTCAATGGTTCTCCATGGCCACTGAAGGTAGGACAAAAAGTAATGGGCTCAATCTGCAGCAAGGGAGATAGAGCTAGGAAGTTTTTCCTAATATCTAACTGAGGGGTAGCTAAGCTCTGGAACAGGCTTCCAAGGGGGACTGTGGAATCCCCATCACTGGAGGTTTTGAAGAACAGGCTGGACAAACACCTGCATGGGATGATCTAGGAGATTTTCTTGGTTTTTTCTTGGATTTTCAGTCTCTTGGTTTCCCTTTGCAGGGTGACGTTGGGCCCCAGGGATTCCCTGGAACTCCCGGAGAGCCTGGCCTCAAGGGGCAGAAGGTGAGTTCCCGGCACACGGGCTGAGTGGCAGCATGGAGGCAGGGTCTAACTGGTTCTCTCTGGCCCCAGGCAAGACATCTCTGGAACCGCCCTGTTTTGTTTGGCTAATGTGCAGTGGAGTAACATAGAACCCATGTTACAAGCTTTGTCGTCTCTTCTGTGTGCTTAGGGTGAGCCCGGAGTCGGCGCAAGAGGCCCCCCTGGACTTCCCGGACCGCCTGGGACACCAGGTCTCTCTTCCAAACAGGACAAGCTGGTACGTTCCTGGGGGCCTGTGGATGGCCCAGACCTGGCATGTGGCATTGGGTCCGAGGACCTGGCGCTGACCCTCCTGCTGAGGAGTGCAGAGATCCTGGCTCCTGCCATGGCACGGAGCAGCTGGCGGAGCTGGCACTTGCTGCGAAGTTAGTACGGCCGTAAAACGGAGCAGCTCCACGCTGCAGTGTGAAGGGTGCTCACAGCTAGAGCTGGCCAGAGTTATCCCTGTGCAACGCTTTATTGTTGGGAAATGCCGATCCCACGAAATCAAACCTTCCACCAGAACTTACCAGTCTCATCAATTTTCAGTGAAAAGTTATGAGTTTATTCCTTTCAATGAGGTCAAAATCTTTTGTTTCAATCTTAGATAATAGAAACATTTTGCCTATTCTGTCATGTCATTGTCTAATAGGTCCTGTCATTTATTTTATTTTTTATTTTATTTTTATACTATTTTGTTATACCAATTGCAGTAGGAAATTACCAGTTAGAATACCAGTTACGATAAGAGTGGAGTAAACAAAGGATCATTTACCAAACCAATTATTACCAGTTGGAATACCAATTCCAAAACCAATCACCAGTTTATAAAATAAAAGTCTATTATATTGTCATTTATAATATAATATAAACGTCATGTCATATTATATCATATAACAGTCAAAACGTTTCACTTTTATAATATATTACAAATGATTCTATACTCTAGCAGAAAAGTTGTCAATAAAGTTGAAATGAAACATTTTGATTAAATGTCATTTCAGCTTTTCCTAAATGAAATTTTTGAATTGTGTTCCATGAGAGATTTTGAAATGTCGACAG